TTTATTATCTAAGAAATATATTTTTCTGATTTTTTTAAACTAAAAAAGCAAGTAGTTAAAAAAAAAATAAACTGAACATGTTATAAATGGAAAATCCAAATTATAAAGCCACGAGTCTCTAATATATAGGTGATATGTTAACCTACCAATGTTTCGCCAATTCAAGCATCTAACAAGATCTCATATATGTAAAAAGAAAAAATCAAAAATGAACAAGAGAAAAAAAGAAAGTTTGCTATGGACAGTCATGTATTCAGCTGAAGACATACTGAAGAAAGGAGAAGGTTCTGTTAACACAGCTAAGGAAGGTTATGTTGAACAGCTGATTAGCAGGGATACAAAGAAAGAAAAAAAATACGCATAACTAAAATTTAATTATACAAAACGTGTTAAATTATTTAAACTAAATTAAAAAAAAAAGAAAAAAATCAATAAATTTAAAAGAAAATGCTCGAAGGTTTATATAACATACACGGCCATCCCACAAATACTATTAATAAAATAAGCACTTACCTCGAAAGGAGGTTAACTTTTCACCTGTATGTTTTTATGAGTTTGACTCCTGGTATTATAATTAGGATTTTTTTCACTTATAAGATAATATTTTGAAAGTTCAGGTTGAAGAATGGTTCATAAGCATTATTATAGTAATTAATATTATTACTAAATCTTGCATTTATATACAAGTATACATAGTTTAACACCGATGTATATCATGAATAGTAGTATACAGTTAAAATGGTAAACATAAAAAATGTTTATTATTATCAGTCCTGTGATTAATAAATGCAACAAAAACTACGGAATTTGTTTATTTTAAAGCCGAAGTTTCGGCAGAGGTATTTAGCCCGGATTTGTGGCCAGATAAATGTAATACAATTAATATGATACATGAATTGATGGTGCAGTTCCTGCGGCATGTTTGCTCTAGTCCTGAAGATGGGCTTTAAAGCTTGACTTAAATTTGGACTTTAAGAAATAAAAAAAATTGTTATTAACGGTGATATCTATATGTTATATTTGAAAAACTTTATGAAATATTTCGTCACCAATTATTTTTTATATTGCATTCACTCAGAATGACCCCTCCTTATCCTAACCAAAATTATGAAGTGATCGAATGGTTTGAGTTATAGTCCTCTACGATTGGATAATATTAAGATCTATATACAATCTTTTCCTTACGAAAATTTGGTCATTAATAGTTAACTGTCACATTTTTTTTCGTTAGCAACAAATATATTAATATTATCTCTACTACTTTTAAAGACTCCACACTTTTCTGTATCGCTGCGGATTATCTCGCTGTGTGTGACTGCTATAATGCAATGAATAGTAATACAACTATATCTCTGTACTGCCGCCGACAGAATATTTTATCGCCAAGACATTGCATTCTGTGTGTAGGAGCCTTACTCTTTATCTAAATATTTCATTCCCATTCGCAATTATCAAAAATCCATCTTAGTACTTCATTTAATTATTTAGTACTTTATTAATTAGTTCTATTTCTAATTTAAGCCCTCTTATCTTTAAATAATGTATGGAAAAAGCAATACAACAGTAGAGAGGAAAACAAATATTGATCAAGATTATTAGAGCGAGAGACCACACAAAAAGTTTACTTTTCGTATTCCGTTTTACTCTCCATTCTTTTTTTAACTGCAAATGGATAAACAACCTAATGATATTATTTATCAGTCAATATTTACACATAATTCAATAATTGTTCCTTATTCCTGAACAGTTACAATTGTTTAATTTTTGTTTTCGAAATGTAATAAAAAAAAAATTATATTCGAATTTCAATTCTCTCCTTTAGAATATTTGTGGTATTTAACAAATAATAGATTTTTTTGTCAGATTTATTCAAAATTCTTTATAGAAAACTTAATGGTTGACCGTTGTATATTTTAGAAGAAGGAGATGGTTCGGGATGGGGATCATAAAGAGAGTAAAGTAGTGGAAAAATTATTTTATTCAAAGCCAACGTTTCGACCCGACTTTGCAAGTCTTCTTCAGAAGGTACATGCAACATGGAGTTTCAGTTAAAACTGTGATTTATCTGAAACTCTGTGCTGCATGCACTCCCCTGAAGAAGACCTGCAAAGTCGGGTCGAAACGTTGGCTTTAAATAAAATATTTAGTCCACTATTTTAGTCTCTTTATGACTGCCACCCCGGACCATCTCCTTGCTCGAAAATTCTTTATGTATTAACACCATACACTACCAAGCACAGATACAGAGATACAACAGAACAGAGAAGTTGTATGTTTTTTTATTGAGGATGTTAATCCCACTATTGAGGAAGCTCCAAATGTAATGTACATAATCCTTACTTTAACATAGTTAAATAATAAATTTAAAATGTTAACTGAGAGGTATCGGTTACATATGGGAAACGTTTGGTTACGTTACAACGTCATTCTCAGTATAAGGTGAGATAACAAATAGTCTTTTTAATTTATCTGTGTGCTTTGCAGATGTTAATTTTACTCACATCCTAATTTTAACGATTAACTATTCTATTGGTTTCTATAATATGCTTTTTAACAAAACTTGTTTGTTCTCCTCAATAAAATAAGTTAAATTATAAAAATATTTTAAATAATTTTCTAGATAATATAACTTTGCTGTTATTACAGTATAATTACTAATATTCGTCTTTCTAAGTGGTTATGAGTAGTTCCTCTTCTACAGGAGATTATATAAGACCTATTGAATCGATTTACTCGGTTAGTGAAGAGGGGCTTCATTGTACTTCTGAATTTAGGGGGCTCCTTGTAGGGTACGTTGACACCTAGAATACTTTTAACTGAATGAATTTTAATGTGACTTTATGAACTTTCCTGATAAGTTTGCTGGTGCTTCAAAAATTTTAAAATATTTTCTATGGAAAAGGAATCTAATTGCATTTTGCATGACATACCGTGACATAATCTTCTAATATAACAAGGAAACAGATACAACTATTAAATTCAGCTATATTCTCGTCCATTAGAATTTCGTTGTTAGTTTGTTCGTATTTCAACAACCACATAAGTATCCATTCTGTTAGGAAATATTCAAGAATACATTTTACTCAGAATGCTGAAGTCACGATGACAAAGAAACTGTTTAAAAATGAGTTGTTAACAGTGCTGCTGCGGCTGGGAGTTTCATCCATTATTATCTAACGTTTATTTATTAATTCTTCTTGTTCCTTGGCTTCTTTTGTTAAAAAAATTATGGCCGCTCTAGAATAACCAAAAACCTTTTAGATTTTTGTATTTAATTTTATTTAAGCTTGATGGTCAACTTAAAAAAAAAATTGATTTGCTAATACGTTTAGTTATTCTTAAATACCGCTTATAGTTTAGAGATAATGGAGTTTGTCAAGAGATATTACTAAATTCAGATAAAATTTCAGCTTGAAAAACTGTTTTACTATTAAAGAAAAATTGAGATCGGACGTCATTCCTGAGACATGCCAAGACTTGAGAAAGTAAGAGTATAATCAATAGATCACTTTAAGTAGCGTGTGATAATTTTCTCATAAATTAAACATTTTAAATTCTTAAAATAAATAAAACTCTTTGTTCAGATGATGTGTCTTGATCCACAATAGCATATACAACAGATATATCCTATGGTTGCATTGGTTTAATAAATATAATCTTAATTTCAATTAACAAAAAATTATGTTTTTATAAAAGGAAAATTTAAGTTTATGAGATTAGGTCAATGGCCTGTCGACCAAGTCTTCTCTTGAGGTATGAATGATAAAAGTTTGACTGAAGAAAATAGAATTTTTTTTTGTAACAAAAAATCTTTTAAAGATTAATATATACAATTTGTTTACACTCCTTCGTGTTTTCTTACAATGGTAGAAAAACTTAACAATCTTTAGCTTAAAATTGCTAGCTTTGCATGCACACCTTTAATATATCGTCGGTTTATTAAAAAAAAAAACCATTAAATAAACTTTTAATGGAGCTAAACGTTTAACTAAATATATCATTGGCTTCATAACAAAGACGGACATCTGCCATTTTCGTAAAGTAAAAAGTCAATTTTTGTTTTATAGGTTCAACTCGAACTATTTTTGTTGATTTTATATAAGAGTTTACGTTGAATCATGAAGAAAAAACATTAGAATTTATTTAAATTGAAGCAATGTTACATAAAATCGTTTTTTTTCTTAACATTTTAAAAATGACATTTATCCGTCTTTGATATGAGACCACTTATATGTTAATTTATTATATCGTTACTGTTAGTGAAAAAGATAGTATGTAACAATTTTACATGTTTCCTCTATTTGTGCTATAGGTGACATTTTGTAGTCTGCCACTGCAATAAGTAGTCTGTTATTATGGAAAATAAAATAGGGAAATAAAATATAAAATAATACTAATAAATCATAAAGAAATAATAAGTCTTTCAGCTCTTCTGTAAACGAAACTCAACATTTTGCCTAACAGTAGCGATATGAGCCTTTCATTTGACAGAGTGGCTAACTCCATTAGATACAAATTTCAACATTTTTATTATTAATTTTAGTAGTATTTCTAGTTGGAATTTTCCAACTAGTAAAAGCACTAAAATGACTTTACTCAAAAATGTTAAAATTGGAGTTAGTCATTCTAAGATCTAAAAAGCTAATATTTCAAACAAAGTAAGTCTAACTGCACAATATTTCGATTTCATCGAGAAAAAAATCATCTTTGTATCAATACTTTGTAATTTATTTTTTAACAATGTTACTTAAAACTTTTTGAAATAAACAGACATGTCCCATATTCATGTTATACCTATTTTTTCACTTCAATCTTTAGTATTAGTAAATTTAACTATTTTGTGTTTTTTTCAGCATCATGTGGAGTTTTTACTCTCTTTAAAAATCGATATTATTATATTTCAAATATTTTTGTCCCTTCTTATACTTATCGAATCAATACTATTTATGTATTTTAATTTATTTATTTTTTCATATAAATTGATAAATTTTGTTTTTTTTCCAGCCATGGAGAAGACTTGATCGTTACTCCTTTCGCCCAAATTTTGGCAAGTCTACGCAGCGTGAGGAATAATTTCCTCTCACTCACAAATGTACCAACAAACAAGTAAGTGGTTTTTTTCAAAAATTGTTTTTAGTTCATTTACTACATGGAATAGAAATATAACCAGAAGTTATCAATTTCTAAAAGCAATTTAACTGATACGTTTTTTTAACAAAAAATAAGCCATAATTGATTTGTAGAAAAAAAAAAATAACAAAGCTATTTGTATGAAAATTGTATACATTTCCTTTGTTATATAGCTTTTTCAAGTCATATTCAACTTGTTCCAAGTCAAATTCAATTTGTTTGAATTCAAAATCAATTATTTCCAAAACTAATTCAACATTTTCAAATTCAATTTAATTTTTTTCATTTCAAATTTAACAATATTTATTAAACTTTTCGATATTTTCTAAAACTCAAAATAAATCGAAAGTCAAATTTCTAATGGAAAAGATTGAATTTGGTTTGGGAAATATTTAATTTGTCTTGGAAATAGTTGAATTTAGCTTCGAAAAATATATAGTGAGTACTTGGAAATATACTTTACAATTTTGGAAAATATGTAATACACAATTTTGTTTTGAATATTCTTTGTTTACACAGTTTAGTATTTCAGTTCCAATTTTTTTAAAAGTATAATATATACAATAGTCAAAAATGGCGATAATGCCGGTGATATTGATATAGAAGGTAATATATTTGAGCACGTAGATAAGTTTAGGCATCCAGTGTCTACGATAACTGGAAAAAACGAAATCGAAGAGGAGATTAAGATTAGGCTGGAGGCGGGAAATGCTTGTTATTTTTCTGTGACAAAAACTAAGTAGTTTTGTCTTGCGCCTCCTGTTCCGAACTTAAAAACTAGAATCTATAAAACTATTATCTTACCTACGGTTCTTTATTGATGCGAAACGTGGCCGCTTACATTGACGGATAATCAGAGAGTTAAGGTTTTTGAAAAGTAAGTATTGTGTAGAATATTCGGCCCGAGTTAAACGGAGAGTTTAGACGGACGGCTACACAACACCGAATTGCGTTAAGTCTATCCGATTAATATTACTAAGGTGATTACATCACGGCGAATTAAATGGGCTTGTAAAACTGTTGGATTAGGTAACGAAAGAATTCCTAAAATGTTAATATTTGCTGTGACGACTGCTAAACGTCTGAGAGGTACACCGAAGCGAAGGCGGGAAGATTGCATTAATTATTATTATTATATAAAAATATGGTACAAGTCTAAAAAAAACACGTAAACTTTGAAAACTTTTCGATTTTAGAGACATTCTCTCATTTTGTTCGGGTAAATATGAGATATAAATGAAAAAAAGAATCAGAAAAGTTGAAAGCTAGATACGCTTCTAATTACTTTATACAATTTCCTATGATCAAGAAACCAAATGGTAAAAGTATCGTTTTGTGCTGTTCTTAAGGAATGGAAAATTGTTTTTTGTTTTTTTCGCTGATAAGAAGAGAACATAGCCACAAAGCTTCCAAAATAAAGTACTACAAAAAATATTTGATTTAAATAAAGATTATAGTTGGGTTTAAACGCCTATACAGCGAGAATATCGTGAACTACGGATTTATTTTATACTTGGACAAAGAACCTGGTGTGGCACGTCACTATGGGCCTGCGCAAGGTGATCGGTGTCGTAGGCAAGTTTTTTTTCTTCGACGACCTTCTCAAGTGACGTGATAACGTAACGGCAGTATTGTCCTCTTTGTTGTAACAGTGATCTAGTAATAAATGGATAAGGCCCTCGTATCATGCAAGTTCGGAAATTCGTAATATTTTGAACATTGTATTGGCTTGTCAAATAAGTCCTTTCGTTTTTGCTGTTTATTTTATTTCACTGCTGTATATGGTGGATTGTTTGTTATATTTGTAATATAATACAACCAATTTTTTGTAAACTTTTGTTAGAATTAGATTAGTATGGCAATTGCACTAGGAATATGGAAGATAATATCATTTATTATCAGCTTATTTTCCTGTATTATTTTAAAACATAAGCATGCTTCATAAGCTCATAAGGAAAGTATTTTTGTCGATGATAACTTAACCGAAAGCACGTTTCAAAATTCGTTTGCCGAATTGTGTTCAGGAAATTTTGACATCAACTATGCTTTCTATAACATCCTATCTTAACATTGTATAGCTCATTAGCTATTGCTATCATGAATAACAATTAATTCAACACTGCACTGATCACGATTAACGAAACCGGTTCAATCAAGTGTAGTATCGCGAAAGAAATAATTTTGTTTTTACTTCCGTTCTTAAAATAACTTATATATTTAAATATATAAAACATACTTAAATATACGTTTGTACACTCAACGTTAAAAAAAAAAAAATAAACGAAGAATAATTAATTTTACCAGATACAATTCTGGGTTTATTCCATCGGATGCATAACCTTTTCGATTTCCTCCTGAAAGAGATATCATTTAAATACCTATCCACACCTTTAAGTTAGCTTAGAAAAAGTCATTTGGTCATCATTCGAAAATTGTAAAAAAAAATAAATTCACATTTTATATTAACGCTTCATATTTTCAATTACCAATAGAATATATTTCATTCAATAAATCTTTTATGCATTATTTTGCTGTAATTTATTGTTAAAATTCAGTTAGAGCGTGTATGTTTATAATAAATTGTTTATCGTACATAAAAAATTTATTGAATAGACTTAGTTTATTTTGTTCAGCTGATTTTATTCAAAACTGCTGAATGCTGATGGGCCTAACTATATATATAAAAGGTTCGGGATCCGATTCGAGCTCCCAAAAAGATACACTGAGACTCAATTTAAGCTCTTTCAGGATTTTGGAACCCAAACGAAAGGATTCATTTGCAAATCTATTGAACATAAAAAAAAAATAGTCCTATATGAAGCCATGTGGAGGCCTCGAACATATTCAGAAATACAAACCAAAAACGTTATTCAAAACGCTCTATCTTTACTTAAAGTATGCAGTAAAAATTAAACGTAAAATTGTGTACATAAAAGCAAAAATACGTAGTTTATTTGCTCTTTTGAACAATTTTAGCTTACGTATAAATTTAAACGTATAGTACAAATAAATTTTTGTAGATTCTGTGTCGATATGTACAATTTGCTTGTTGAAGATTTGTTAAAGTTGAAAATTTGGACTAAATAACCTTATGGTTATAATAGAATAAAAAATCTATTATCGATAATTGATTAATCATCTCAAATTAGATCCAGCTGCATTGGTTAGTCATATTACTACTGATATATACATAAATTTTAAAAAAACTTTTTTTTGATCCCTTGAGTCTAGACATAACTCAAAGCTAGGCCAAGGTTTTCTACCATTTAAATTTCTTTTTTGTTTTCCTTCTTAAGATAAGCCTCTTTCTTACACTACCCGTTGACAGCACTATTGTGTAACCTCTAGCCTACAAAAAATATTCAAGAAGGACCTTTAATAAAACTTTTGAGCTTAAAAAATGAGAGTAACAGTTAAAATACTGAAGTAAATTAAAAATACAGAGACCTATGAGATCCAGAATTACGATAGACAGGTCAGAATTGGACGATTAGCACAAGATACGATTTTTCGAAATTATCATTTCAAGTTGAGGCTCATTGATATTTGTGGGAACTACTATATATCTTGACATAATAAGAAAGCAATGAATAAGAATTGTAACAATGACCCATTTCGTTGACACAAGAACTGCATAGTTGTTGGAAAAGGGGGGGCGGGGTGGCCGAATAGACTAGAGCGTGTGTAACAGCACCGCTAGTTGCCTGGCAACCGGATAACAGAGATTTGAGATGATATAAAAAGTACGAGTTCGCGTCCCGGTGCCGGAGGGGATTTTAAATTTCCCCGCCCTCACCCCCCGGCCCGGGAAAGCCCCGTATGGCCTGGAAGTTATTGGAAAGGGTATTAAAACGGCAAAACCCTGAAAAACTTTTAATTAAGACAATATATATATAAAACTGAACGTTTTATGGCATGTTGGGCCTTTTGAATTAATATAAACTAAAACCGCTTTGATAATAACAACATTTATTATTATTGTGAATGTTTTTACAAAAAAAATATATATATATTTTACATGTAATAAGTTGTAAAAATGAAAACGTATAAGGTTATTTGGCAAATCAATTATGAATATTAATTACATATAATACTATCAAAAGGACATAGATAGACTAACAAGAACTGTTATTAGAGAAACAGAGCACATCATCCTACAGGTAAATGAAAATAAACACATGACCTATCAATTTTGAGTCACAAAATTTGTTTGAGTTACTCTAGAATCTGTACCTTCATATCTTTCAGTTTATTTAGTTCTCTTGTTTTCCTTCAGTTTTCTAAAGGAATAAATAAAATTAAGTATAAATTTATTTATGTATAATTAGATCTTTATCCTATTTTTGTACAGCTTTATTGGCTCAATTTTCTAGATAATTACCAAACCGAAGGTTGCAGGTTTTGTATTTATCATTGGCCCAGGGTGTACAGAACATTTTTATTGCAATCAGAACATAGCGGTCGTTGGTGAAAAATATTATTTACGAACTTATTTAACTCACTTCAACAAATCACTCAGCAAAAAATTATTTTCAGTACTCAGCAAAAACACCGAACATATATTTAATGATACGTAACTAGTTGCAAAATTAGTAAGATCGAAACAGGCTTTTTGAGTCAAATTTATTGAAAACCATTTTTTTATTCGTTTCTAAACTGTTGGAATATATGAGTTAACTAGGGTTAATGAGTTAACCCTACATTAAAAATATAGGGAATTTTAATTATCATAAGACCTTGAAAAAGGGAATTTGGCCGCTCTCGGGGCTATGTGCACACACCATAGCCGAGAAAATATAATCATTTCGTTACTTCGCTACAGAGTTAAGTTACATATCAGTCCCTCTGATTAGTTACGATTGAAATTAAAATAACTTAATAAGCTGACACAAAAATTAACATATTAAGATAATCATTATTCTTTTGGTAATGTCGTTGGACACTCTTCTCCTCTCCTTCCATCAAGCTTTGAGAAG